TTTCTCATAAAATATGAGGTTTAAAATATGCTAGAGAAATATCAACATTACTGCCAAATTGGTAAATATGGTAAATCATAAAGAGAAAATTTAAATCATGCTTTCATGTATCATCTACTTCCCATATTATTGACACACATTTTTTAAAATTTAACTTTATATTGATTTAAGTAAGGGTTTGCTGCAAAGATCTTTTGTGTCAGAATTTCCCCATTCTTGAATTCTTAATTTTGACATGTCTCTTGTTGAGTTTTAGAATATATATGGAAACTATACTCATAGTGCTTTCTGAACTTGTATATCTAAAATGCCTTCCTATTACTTCAGAAYGTAGCTCTATAGTGGAGAAAACTGAGTCTTGTTTAACTCTTGTTCCAATGTAGGCCATTTGGATTTTTTCTTTGGATGCTGGTAGAACTCTGTCTTTATCTGAGTAATTGAAAAACTTCTGGGATGTTATTGAACTGTGGATTTCTCTTTATTAATTTTGACTGAAGAGCTATTTTGATTTGCATATTCAGATTTTTTTTAAGGGCCAAGAAATCTTTTTTAAACTGCTTTGCTTTTGCTCAATTATTGTGTATTCTTCCTTAGGAATTTCCCTATTTGTCCTCTTCCCTCCTTGTTTTCATTTCCTCATCTTTCCCTTGCAATCTGGGGCAGTTATTCAAATCTGTTCTCAACATCACGAAATCAGACTTGCATTGTGCCAATTCCACTCTTCTGAGAGCATTCCTTATGCAGAATTTACAGATCCTAGAGGAAAGGGTTAACATGTCCAGAACTGATCCCAGGCAGTAGCTTCTCAGAAAAGAAGATGGACTTTAGCAAAGCTCCATGGAAACCAGACAGGCTTGGTGCTTGAGGCAATCAATCTTGACCCATTGCAAATACTTGACCTCCAGTCCTCTCCTGACAGGGGTGAGGTTGGTGCTTCCCAAACTATGGAAGTCTGTGTGACAAGTCTTGCCATCTGTATGCCATAGCCGGCAGCTGCAACTGGAAGGCCTTGGTCTCACCCCTGATTTCCATCTCCCCGTCCCACTGCCCATCAGGCAGGAGAGATGGGATGCATCACATCATGAATGCTGAGCAGGAAGAATAGGACAGTATCAAGATTTTTCCATGTCACATCACAATTGCGTCTGGGTGTTGACCACACCAGGAGTGTGACATTTCCCTAGTCACACAGCATCCTATGCTACACTGGGAGAGCTGCGCTCCTCATTCTGCTCTTGTCTGAGTTCTCCCGGAGCAGTGCTGCTGCTGTTGGTCTGCTGCAAGTTTGGCGTACCCAGTTCTCTTGCTAGCAATGGCAGTTGTCCCAGGACACTACCAGGCACACACCATGGCCTTCTGGAAGCAAATTAGGGGACTTGACTAGATCTATCTAGGGATACATCAGAGATTCAAACTGGGAAAGGAAGAGACTCCTTGTGCTGTAGTGGCTGGACTTCAGCAGGTAGCGACTGTGAACAGGAACTAACTCTGAAAAATACTGAGCAGTGGGAGGTTAAGGTGCTTAGGGATGGGATCCCTCATTTTTTTTGTGATTTTGAAAGGACTTACCCAGGATGGGATAGGCACTCTACTGAGAGGAAAACTGCATTACTGCCCCAAGTTCCAGTACTACACCGATCCTCTATTGCTGACCTGGCAGGATAGGACTGAAGTGAAGGTTCAGCCACATTGGCTTCATACTGTGTCCTGGCCTCAGATCATGGCAGGGAAGGAGCTTATGCTTCCTTAGTCATGTCTCTTACAAAGTCCCCTCTCCTGGAGTCTGGTCTCTGGCCCTGCCAGATTTCTGTGTCTGCTCCAGAATGAAACAGCACATCTCCGATTGATCCAGTGTCTGCACACTTTCTCCAGCATGCCCATGGGTCTTGCCCATAAGGTCCTCAGAWTTCTAAAAGAAGATACAGCCTGTGATTTGCTACAGCCTGTGTCTGTCAGTCCGYGACTACTCCATGCCTACTGTTGCTCTACAGGTCTGAAAAAATGAGTCCGCCATCCCTTGAGTCAAGTGTGGTAGGACCCCAYCTCCAGCAGGTTGTGAGACATCTCCTTTCTAATAGAGTTCATATGTCTGCTGTGCYGAAGGACCAGCCAGGGGCGTCTGTGTGAGGGCTGGTCACATTTGTGCCAATGGGTTGAACATTACCCTTGACTGCAACCATGTGCCCAGCTCTGTGAAAATGGCTTCTGTTTCTGTTCCTCATTTGCTCTACAGTTCCCCGAGGGAGCTGGAGCCCTGCCCTGGACTACAGCCTATTTGGTCAGGCCCAGAAAACCTGCCCATTGCCATCTGCTGGCTAATATCCTCTTTTAACCTGAATGGGGGCACCCGTGGTGGTATCGGGATGCTGCCACCTGCCCCCAGCACAGCTGCTGCCTAGCTGTTGCTGTGGGGCCTCCGTTCACTTGTCTGGACCAATCAGATCTGATAAGCGGAAGCTACACCACCATCTCCTCAGTGGGAATCCTATCGCCAGGTGAGTCCCCCTCTATTCTACCCACGTATTCTTTTTATTTTTGTAGTGGCTTTATTTTATTTGTTTGTCTTTATGTGGTGCTAAGGATCCAACCCAGTGCCTCACACKTTAGRCAAGCACTCTGCCCCTGGGCTACAGCCCCAGCCCCTAGCCACMTATTCTTGATGTCCCTATACTTCTTGTGAAAATTCTTCCACAGATTACAGAAGCTACACAGATGATTTTTACCATCACCAGGCATATCATAGACTCAAAGGCAATCGCTGGAATATTCATCAACACTGACTCTGTGGTTTTATCAGTCAGGCCTGGATCTAGGGTCTATGCACTTTTTAAGAGCATATGGAAAATTGTTAGATCTGACAAAACGTAGTTTCAAAACAAAGTCACCCACTCTAAAAATAATTTCGGAAGTCTTTCCAGTATTTTAAAGCAATCTATTTATTATGGAACATGGATGCATTTTATCATGCTGTAGGGTGGGGCACCCAAATGAGAGCAAGCCAAAGACTTGTGAGTAATGTGTCACCACAGCCCCACGCAGATCACATCTCCCAGCTCATCCCTGCTCTCTGCCACTGTATGTCTGTCACTAAGATGATACGGGCAGCCAGGGTGCCATGGTTACTAACGATAGGACCAGGGAACACTCCGATATGTATTGAATGAGTGAATGAACAGATGAATGAATCAAGTAAGCAATTTATAAGTCCTCTAATAGAAATGCATAGAGATTTTAAAAAATCAAAAGGAGAGGGACATGGGGATTTGTTTAATGGGCACAGAGTTTCCGTTTTGCAAGATGAAAAAGTTCTGGAGATTGGTTGCCTAACAATGGGAATATACTTCACACTACTAAACTGTACATGGARAAGTGGTTGAGTTCCTCGAGGGCAGGGACTTTGCCTTGTACACTGTTTTATCCCCTGGCACTAGGTTCTAAATCAGTATTTGTTCAATGAATAAATGAATTTTGCTCTAATTTGTAATCTCATGACTGCATGGAACTCTGTTGCCTGGAAGTTGCTTCATCTGTTTAACTAATCCTCTATTTTGAGATATTATAGGTGGTGCTGCAATAGAAGACTTCCATATGTTTCTCTTAAATATTTCTGCACTCTTTCTTCTGAGCTCCATGACTGTTGCAGCTTCTTAGCCATCCCCCTTCCTCTTTCCGCTCCTGGCACAGTTTGCATCGTAGATAGACATTTCACTCTCCTGTCCTTACCCTGAATGTGCAGAAACTAAATCCAAGCTCCTAACACCAAGGTATCTTTATTTCACCTTTCCCATGACTTCCCAGCATGGCTCAAAAATACACTTTCCACTGTAAGCAGGTTACTCCTCCTACCCCTTTCTCAATTATGCTCCAGTGTATGTTGTTTGCTTTTACTGAACACATTCCTATTTCTTTACCTGCCTAAATTCAACCTATCTTTCAAGTCCAGAGCCTGATCCTCCCGACTCTGTCAGGCCTTCCCTGAATCCAGTCTGTATGATCTTTTACTCTGCTCTATTTTTCTGGCATGTTTGTGTCTGTCATGAGAGGTAGGCCTGACTACCTTCTAGAACCTACCAGGGTTGGAGTTAAAATCTCATCAACCGCAACTTCCTGGAGCACAGAAACCTTTTAGAAATTTAAAAAATCTGAAAGAATTGGTCAAAGTCCTATTAATTCTAGACACAAAGTAATAAATATTTAAAAAATTTAAGTGTTTTTCCATAGTGAAAATTTTTATGGAAAACAAGACAGGTTTTTTTTTTTAGAGACTAAATAGCATATTCATGATAAAATATTTTCTTCTTCACACATATATTAGATAATACACATAGTATCTACATACTATTTATCACATAGATAATTTTAATTCTTAAATCCCTATTTGAATCCTTGATCGATCACTACACAAGATCTGTTTCTGACTATTTTGTTGTTGTTTTAGACTTTGGCTTGTCATAAGATAAAACTATTAAGTATGAACTTATATTTAAAGGAATATTTCCTTCAGAAATTATTGTAAAATTATGGTAGGGTGGTATCCAAGTTATATAGTTTTGGGACTTTTACATAGGGGAGTAGGACACTAGGAAAATCATGAAGTGCACATTTCATTTTTTTTTTCTCAAGAATTTTCATATATGAGAAATCAAGTTAAAATGAACAGAGAGGTCTGTCATGAAAGAAAAAAAAATTGCAACTTGTGGACTGAGGGATGTGTGTTTCCGTGTGTGTGTGTGTGTGTGTGTGTGTGTGTGTGTGTGTAGTGGGAAGGTACTTTCTCTCTGTGAGAATGCTGCTGGGAATTCCAGGCTGAGTTGCCCAGACAGGAGCCGAGAAAGGAATGCTATAAAGAATATTCTGCAAGGAATACTGAAGCTGGGTCTGTGAGTCATGCGTTTTTGCTCTTTGACCTCAATAATCTGCATCTTGAACTCAAGTCTTTTTCTCAACTCCCACCTGCTTTCTGGTTGCCTGGTCTCTGCATCCYGATAAAGCCCACTTACCGTCTTCCTCATAGAGAAGGCCCATGTGCGCATGCGCCTCGGCCTCTTTCCTCCCGCCGTCGATTTTGATCAATTGTGCAATCTGAAAACATCGTTCATAGAAGTGGTTCCTTACCCACTTGTCTTCAGCATTATCGAAGAAACAGGCCAGAGCATACAAGTTATTATACACTTCTTCAAAGTGTCCTTCAAAAAGGGAAAGATACAAACTACATTAGAAAGAGGATGTCTCATGGCACCTGCTCGGGAACGGCAAACCGATGCTGTGACATTTATTCCCATTTTATTCCTAAAAGTGTGGTTATTTTATAAATGTAATCTGAATGCAAAATTAAAATAATTACATAAGTTAATGGATATCCACATAAACAAATCAACAAAAGTCTTTCCAGAAATGTACAACATACTAGAAATYGACATATGGTTTGGATTTAAATAGGGGACTTTATGTAAGACATGGACTGGAAATATCAATTAGCAGGGTACCTAGTTTTTCTGGGAGAAAGGACTGTCATTGGGTACTTTTCACATTGGAGCTTTAAAAACTGTTTTGAGATGGCAGAGAAAGTAATGCATATTAAAATAACAAAATAATGTGAATGAAGAAAGCAGAGAGGAAATGGGAATGCTGCACTGTTTTCACCCTGAAGGGAAAAAAAAATCATAGGGTTTGATAGATATAAGAAATGATGATCAGGATACCTCTGTAAGCTGTACACGTTTTCTGATAAAGTTTCTAGCAACATAGGTTTTTCTGACAGTGTTAAGAAAGAGCAGACTTCTATGCTTCAATATTCTGGGTATTTTTTCCCCACTGAAAATGCATACATACTAAGCATTCCTTTTACTCAGATAGTTGTTAGTTTATTACTTGAACCCTTGTAGTTCCCCCCCGACTTATATGTATGCAAAAAGGTTTATTAATAAATTATGAATTGTCCTTATAAACTCCACTGCCATAGTAATAGAAATGTCTGTGGGGCTGGCACTGTGGCTCAGTGGSAGAGTGCTTGCCTCACACTGGGTTCGATCCTCAGCACCACATAAAAGTAAGCAAATAAAATAAAGGCATGTGTCCATCTACAACTACAAAAAAAAAACTTAAAAAAAAGTGTTATGTGTTAATGAATTGTACCTCAGTCCTATAAACCCCTCTCAAATGGTGAATGTGAACAATTTATAATCCTTCTGTCTTTTTGCATTTATTCTGAAAGCACACTTGTAAATAGGTAGTAGCCTGAGTAACTGTTCTAAAACTTTTTTTATAACAGTGATTGTGGAGTAGAATTCATTGATGCAATTGCTCACTACKACCAGAAGAGTCAGCCTATTTGTTCCTGAAGGTATTACAATAATGAAGAATATTGCCCATTAATGAATCTCTAAGATTAAATCCAAAGGCTCAGAAAAGTGAAACAAGCTAAATACAAGGTGGTTGTCAAGAACTATAAATAAGTCATCCAGTGTTTCAACAGAAATCTTTAAAACCCGTGCCATTCCTTCACTTACACCTCTTATGTATATATTTATTCATCGAATGTGAATAGACCATGCAAGTCTATTTCTTAATATTTCATATTTCTTTGTCATATTTACTAATTAGAGAGTTTTATTCTTTTTGGATTGAGCAAAGAATTTCATATACTCTACTTAAATAAAATATTTTATATAAAGAATATTTTATATAAAATTTTAAAACTATATACATAATCCTGCAATAATTTTTCTATTTTTCAGTAAATAAACATCAATATAAAAATATTCCCAACATGTCATAAGCAATGTTTTTTTAAAAAGACAATGAGCTATACTTATATAAGTTATTAAGATACCATATTGAAAGACTACTTCTCAGCTAAGCTATTTTTCTGTTTGTCRTATGTATACTTTACATTCTAAGTAGCCTTTCTCCTTGCTTGTAGATCACTCTCTTGAATTGTCAGTAAGTATATTCAGAAGATGAAAATCAATTTTATTGTTGGTCTGTTACTTAAACACTATGCTCTCTAAAGAAGAGATTCCATAATGAAATAAATTTCAGAAGTATACACACAATATATGTAAGCATGAAAAGRGCTCTAATAAGTCCCTCGATAAATCAACCTTCTTAACTTCAATGATAGTTCACCAAACTTATTTTACCAGATAATTTTTTGTTTTTGTTTGTCTTTGCATAAAACTTATAATATAYTTTGGAGCTTTGCTTGATTAGAACACACTTTATGTATATTAAACAAATGTTACTGGAAAAAAAATTGCTGCTCAACTCTTGGCAATAATTTAAAAGTCAAGCGTAAATAATGTTGGAATTATCTATTGATTCAGTTACCCATTACCATTATTGCCATCTCTTCCCCAACCCCATGGGGCTCAAGATCTTAATCATAATGTTACATACAGATGGTACGAAGATGATTCACAACAATGGATAAAACAGGAAATGTGTCAGGGACAAAGMAACCCTTCCAGGAGTGGAAAATCATCCAATAAGAAATGGCTGGCTTACTTTAAACACAACTTTGCTCTAAAACAGCAAGTGATATTTTGTTGAAGTTATTTAAATAACTCTAGATTACTGCTCTGTAAATCTCAAGAGACAGAACTGACCTGAGACGACTATTGTTAGTGCCATAGTTTTGATTAAATGAACTTCATTGTGACCCTAGAGCGATGGTCTTTCCAATGAGAAGCAATGAGGTTTCTCAGAGACACATTATTTTAGGATAATTGTTTCAGACCCCCCTCCCCCACCATATGGGATGGAACCTTGAGATGCTATTCACAGATTTCTATTTTTTGGATACATGTGTATATATATATATACACCCACATGCACATATATATACACCCACATGCACATATATATGCACACACATACATACATACATACACACACACACATATATACACACACATGCCCATATACATGTGTATGTTTTAAGATTAGGATTAACTCAAGTTATTAAAAACAAAAATGTGTATCTCATTTTTATGGGGCATTCCTTCTTCAAATCACAATTTTCCCTCAATTAAGTTCATGTGTTGACTGTAAGAAAAAATTACACACCTTCTTTACAAAGGACCATATAAATGCTCACATGTTATTCAACTGAATGATTTCCACTAAACTTTTTTTGCAACATTTCTGATTTTCTGTATTTCAACTAGGCAAAAGCCACTGCAGTTTTTAGGAAAGAACTCTACAGACCATTTAGGCTGAACAAGAAGTAATTTTGCCCCATTTAACAAATGCAACCTTAGTTACCATGAATATGTGATAAACCGCTCTGTGAAGAAAATATTTCCTTCCATGACTGACCACTTGTGCAAGACTTTGTCTATAATGAAATTGGGATTTCATGAGTTTCAAATTGGAGGAATATTTTTATTTTTATGTATAGTTACCATTTTTTTAAATGAAAAATTAGAAATTAAAATGTGTTCTACCTTCAAGCAAACTATTTGGTATTTTGGTTTCTTTATCATTACAGAAGCCTTGATGACAAGATGACTCATCTGTGACACTTTATGACAAGGCAGAGTTTTTGCTCATATTTATGCTGCTCAAATGAAAGCCCCCAACTCACACAGTGAATATGATGGAATTCAACTTGAAAAAGTGGCTACTGGGCGGGTTTTATCTTGACTAGTTGTGCTTCCAGCCTCAATATCACTTCAGAATTTGGGGCTGACATGGGAATGCAGGTTTTTCACAAAAGCATATTTTATTCCCGATAGTTAATTTCTTGAGAAATTATATAAATCACATTTTAAAGTTCACCAACAGACTCCATTTTAAAGTCAACCCAGCATTTGAATACTTTTCATGGTGTTAACAACCCAGTCCCATCTCAACCCCGCCACCCCCTCCACCCTAATTTGCTTGATGTGCTATTCACAGTTTGGACATCTTGTCGTCTTAAGTCAGGTCACACCTTGATGGGACTTCACTCTAGAAGCTGGGAGACTATGGCTTGCCTCTGTGGCTTCCCCGTGTCTCATCAGATGGCTCTATAGAAGCTGAGGGGGCTAACAGAAATTTGTCCGATACCCATAAATGGTCTGAAATGAAACACTGTCATGTCAAGGCCCAAGACTTTATTTTATTTTATTTTGAGTTCTATCATGTTTTCACCCCAAATGTTGAAGAAACGAATAATTTAGAACACCAAATTTATATGCCAAAATCTGGGACTTCCATTTTTTTCTTTAATTATAAGTGACCAATTAAAATGATCAATTCTTAAACATGTGACTGAAAAATATTTATAACAATATCAATATAATGATAACAGAGATGAAAATATTTTCTCCAATTCTTGACATATAACTTTCTGGAAAATATTAGAATACCAAAAAAAAGGAATTATTAGAAATTATTCCATGGAAAGTATAAAATTAACAATTTTAACCACAATTGTGAATTGCAGGTACTTTGTATCTTCTCAGTATTCCCTAATATAAAGTTTCTGATTCAAGTAACATGTCATGAGAAAAAAACTTCAAAGCTCATTTACATAAATTCTGGAAAATCGGTATCATTTTGAAGCAACAGTGCTGTTCGAAAGTATCTCCTTAGCAAAAGTCAATAGGCAGATAAGGATAAATCATGTAAACGTTAATAATTCATGATCTGAGAGATTTATATCTGTTGGAAAGTTCTAGAAGTTGTCATTAGGTGCCAGGGTTGTCTTCCCGGCTTGGAGTGACAGCACCAGGAGACCCTACGTCTGGGCTGCCTCTTCATTCAGTGGTCCCTATGATTTGTCCCATAAATATGCTTAGTTGACTAGAGAGACCTGGGCTAAGTTGTCTCAATGTGTCCCCTGCACGCAGGGGACAATCTGGAACCTTCCCGAGGGGACCTGCCCACCCTCTCTCCACCTACCTTTCCTCTCGGCGGCCTCGGCCCTGGTCAGGTGGTGGTATAAGTAATCCAGTTTATCTAGCTGATCCTCCAGGGGCTTCTGCGTCCAGAAGATGGACCTGCGTCTGGCAGCCACCCTCAGGGTCTCCCACTGCTCCATCAGAGCAAAGAGCTCAGTGAAGGACTCGTGATAACCCTCCCGCAGCATGTCCACGCAGATGTTCTTCTTGTACGAGTTCCTGTAGCTGGGAATAAGAAGCAGAAAGCTCAATGCCTCGTTTTAGTCCTTTCAATCTGCCCCGTGTTTTCATTCTCTGATAATTAAAGGCTGAACAGTGTTTCTTTCTTTCTTTTTTTTTCTTCYCCTCAGTGAAAGCACTGAAAACTCTCAAAAGATCTTTGCCTCAGACACTTATAATTGAACTACTTCAGTTTAATGAAAGATGCCAGAAGCTATCTAAATACAGTAATTTTAATGAAATTACATTATAAATATATCCGTTCCAGAGCTGGGCTCTCTTTGATAAGGACAATGAGCTAGTTCAYTGACAGTATTAAAAAATACTGGATACACCAGCCTTCCACCCAAACAAGCCAACCCATCCAATCAGAAAACTACAATAAGCCGGGCAAAAATCACATTTGCTATTTAATATCAAAGCAACATCCTCCCTGTATTTGGCAGTTTTGTTGTATGTTATGGAAGTTGATCATTCATTCATTCATTCATTCATACATACATAATGATTTATTGAACTCTATCGCTATATATACATATCATTATATATACTGATATAAACTTTACATACATTTATATATAAAATTATTTTCAGGTAGAATTAAGTTATTGGTTTTGCTAATTCATTGCTTAGTTTCAGAACTCAGGAGGCTGAAGTAGGAGGAATACTTGAGCTCAGGAGTGTGAGACCACCCTGGGTAATAGCAATATCCCAGCTCAAAAAACAATGATGAAATGCTGAGAGCCATTGCCAAGTAGGAATGACGAAGGACTCTCCATTGTGGAAATGGGCTTGCCTTTGGACCCGGGTCATTTGCAGTGACATTGCATGTATGCTTGAGTAARGTGACCTTGCTCAAGGACCAGGGTGGATCCGGGTTTAAGGTGTATCCTGCTGGGATTAGGGAGTGCTCCTTGGGTTTAGGGCGGTTCCAGGTTTAAGGTGGACCCTGCTGGGAATAGGGCGTATCCTGCTGCCTCAGGCAYGCCAGCTCCTTGAGTTCCCGTTGAGTCCTCCAGGGATTCAGAGAGTATTTGGGATTCAGAATGTGGATTTTGCCCAGAACGTGAATTTCCTCAGAACGTGGGAATGAAAACAAATCCTAACTTTAATAATAAACCATATGYAAGGACATTGACAGAGGATAGTTCATCTACTCATTCAATGAATCACTATTGCATTTCCTACTAAGTACCATCCAGTGTTCTAAACACTCAGTATTCTTGTGAAGTTGGCATTCTAGTGGGAAAACACAATCCCATAATTAAGAAATGAAAAATAATGACTGAAAATGTCTACATAAGAAATATACAAAATTATGGTATGTGGTGGCTATTCACCTATCAAAAAGAACAACCAGWTAGCAATATATTTACATCTTTCTATTAATTTTTGTAAGCTTTTTTTWAAAAAAAACCCGAGAACTCAATATTTAGAAAAACTGATATATGATTCTATTGGCAATAAAAATTTCAGTGTAGACTGGGAAGAGCTCAGAATTAGTCAGAATACCCATTTGTCCCAACCTCCCTGGTCTTCATTTCTTCTCAATTGTAAAATATACACATTCATATCTGCCCTTCCTACGTCGCAGGATCTTTTCAGGAACAAGATGAAATTAAGTGAAAATGCTGCGGGAATGTGAAGCTCCTGGCTGCCATTCRATTCACCTGTGGAGTTTCCACAGAAAAACGGCCCAGGTTCCACCTGCCAAGAATTTCTCATCCCGCTAATCTACTTGGGTAGAAATCAAGAGTGGTGAGTGGAGAGTCGGAGATACAGAGGCTTTTATGTTTGTCTTTATGTRTCTATTTTTAAGTGGGATCCAGACAATGAAGAGACCTCATGGTCAAGCAATGGTAAGAAGCTCAGACTCAAAGCAAGGCATGATGGAGAGTCCTGGAGAGGCTGAGTCCCAATGGATGGGGGGTGACTGCTTTTGAGAAAAGGCATCTGGAAGCAATGACACTGAACAGCAGCGCTCCCCCACACCAGCAGCCAGTCTGTTGTACCAGCTCGAAGAGTAAGGAAACCACATTCCTGGGTCAAAAGATCAACAGCTACCATTCGGTTTGAGCCAAGAAATATTCAAAACAGGGAGAGTAAATTTTGGAGTGACCGTTTTTTATTCTCCTATTTGTCCCTCTAGTTGAAATAGAAGAGGAAAATGGAGACAGAAAGACCATGTCCTCCCTGTTCCCCTTTATTCCAAATACCAGAGGGGTGGGGGAGAAGAAGAAGCCAGCAACCTGTGAAGTTCAGTGGGATCTAAGTGTGGAAGGAAGACACTGGAACCTGCTTCCCGTGTGAGAGTCTTGAAGGTAGGAGGGTTACCAACATCCCCGCTGCCCACCTCCCCATGGCAGGGAGCCATCAAGGGTTTGTAGGCAGAAGAGAACCAGAGAACCAGAACCAGCCCCAATGATGTCCCACAGTTCTTCAGTGGTAATGGTGTGACATTATGAAAAAATGTCATGACTTTTCAGAGGGCTCCACAGATAACACTAACGGAAGGGGAAGGTCACTGTGTCTGCCACTGTGTTATCCAGCCTTAGCCAGGGATGTGTGCTGAGAGGCTCATGGTGAGATTCTCACTGGGGTTGGAAGGAWGGCACAGCCATGATTGAAATGGGCAGCACCGGGAGCCTCTGAAAGGCTTCAGGCCAGCACACTGCCAGAGCTGATAAACAAGGATGGACTGGGGACAGTTGCCTGCACAGGATGCCACAGCCCAGAGATGCGAACGTTCAGCTAAAAGTCAGAGAGAACTCRCATCACAGTATTTTGAAAATAGAGAATCTACTTGTTGCCTAATCTTAGGCAGCCAAGGACCTGGCTCACTGGACTGGCAAGTTCAAGATCAAGGTCCCTGGGATTATCCTGACCTTCTCTCCTTCTTGTTCCCTGCTAGTGGCCACAGGGCTCCAGAGACCATGTTCACTTTCAAGAAGAAAGTGGAGTGTGAGGGGGCATTGACTGTGTCTTTCCTTATTTTGGGGAAAAACAGAATCATTCCCGCAACTCCTAGCAGATTTCTACTTTTGGACCCTTTGTCTAGAACTGTGTCATATGACATCCCACTCTCCCTTTGCTGCAAGGAGTCTGGAAACCCAAATGGCCTGACTCCTCTTGGGCACAGTGATGTCCCAACCCAATTTGAGCTGTGTAAGCAAAGAAGAAAGAGGACTGGGGACTGGATGGGCAAATCAGTGAYAATGACAAGTTCCTCCATGAAAATCTGAAAGTAAATTCTGTCATATGCTGTTACCCTGCCTGCTCCCCATGTTGACAGATAAAATGCAGAATGCTCAGTTCAATGTGAATGTCATATAAATTACAAATGATTTTCTTTTTAGTATTAGAATCCCCTAAGTATTTCATGGGACATACACACATACACACACACACACACACACACACACACACACACACCCCACCTGGTTTTTTGAAAGTGAAATTCAATTCATGTATTTTTATTTGCTAAATCTAGTAACTCTACTTCCTTCAGCCCCCTTCAGTACAATGCTGTTTCTGTATTGGAAGATAGGGTGAGGAGGACGATGTTTTAAAATCTTGAGCAACCTGAGAAATTGTGGAATTGGACTGACTACCTAAGAGTGACAAGATTGGATTTTTACACTAGGGAGGATCAAGGCTCAGGGCCAGGAATTAAAATTAAGTTATAAAAAAATAAAGACTTTCAATTTAGCATCCTTGAGTTTGTGACTCTGAAATTCACACCTGATCCAAGAGAAGGGATGGGAGGAGGGTGAAACTGGGAGTAGGGAGAAAAGATGGGAAACAGGTGGCTGTGGATGGGAGAGGCTACGGGGGCTGGAACTGGGGTACAGGCAGGGGGCTAAGTAGGGTTAGGTGGATCCAAAAAATACTTAGAAGATAAAAATATTGAGTACTTGGTGGCTGAATGGCTGTTGGAGGTGAAGGACAGGAAGGAGCTTGGATGATGACCAGGTCTTCTGATTGAGTAATGAGTAATTGGTAATTTGCTAAAGAGGGCAACATTTGCTACTGGGAAAGATAATGAATTTGGATTCAGATAGCTTGAGTTTGGGAGTACCCAAGGGTTCTTGCAAGTGGTCCCCTAGAAGGCAGTTTGTGGGGTGACATGGAAGGCCTCTGACGACACAGCCTGGAAACCTAACCTTGCTTCAGAGGAACAATGCCAACTTCAGATGCTCATGCATTGGCTGCCAGAATGTTCTCCTACGAGTGAAGAAAGCCTGCTGCAGCAAAAAATAAAGAAAAGGACCACAAAGTAAAAGTTAAACAGTGACTTCAAACAATGAAAATATGCACTGGGCAGAACAGTTGGGAGGTCACCTAATCCAGACAGAGATGTAGAAAATCACTCTCCAGATCCTTCTGCCTTCACATGGGAAATGAAGGGGGATCTGGCCCATCCAGCATGGAGCCCTACTTCTGCCTTGGCACACCTGAAATACTTCTGCAACTAGCCAGCCTTATAYGTGGGATAGGAATTCAAGGACTCCCTAGTCAGGGGGTAGGTTATTGACCCAAATTAGAGGGAGACTCGRTCTTTCCCATGAGCTGGAATGCTGAGGCAAGCAGCACAGGTGTGGGAGAGGCAGAAGCCCTGGGCAGCTGGACTGGACAAGATTCTCCAGGAGTCTTCCTACCTATGTCCATGCAAGGGGCCTGTGTCTTGTCCACTTCTTCTGAGCTGGGTTCTCCCCCACATTCCACCAGTCACCTAACATCCTTTCCATAAAATCATTTCCACTTAGTTTAGTCAGAATGGGGTTTCATTGCCTTTTGACCAAAGAACACTAAGTGATTCAGAAGAAGCTGGACTAGGAGTATTTCCAACAGATCTTTCGGGTTCAAAATACCAACGATATATAGCATTGATTTTTAAAGATTTCTAGTAATTTTTTTGAAAAGGTCATTTTTTTTTGCAGAAGATATACCAAATAAGAATATGTTTAAATATGTATATATAACTTTATTGACACCATTTCTATTTT